AGTACAGTACAAATACTCGGGGGCGGTGTTACAAGTTCTACCCCCCTTATTTGGGATTTCGTCCCCGAAATCTACGTGTCTAATCAAACAGAAATGGATATTGTTCCCTCATTAGGGTCTCCACTTCCCACGTTTGCTCCTCGACACGATCACTCTTCCAAAGTACTTTTACCATCGGCACCTCTTTGCTCCTTAGCTTCTTTACCTGCCGGTCTATGATCTTTACCGGCTGTACCGTATAATGTAGGTCTTCTCGGATTTCTACCGGTGGTTTCTCAAGAATATGTGACGGGTCCCGCACATACTTCTTGAGCATAGAAACATGAAATACATTGTGAATCTTTTCTAATTCAGGGGTCAACTGAAGTCGGTATGCTACCACCCCAATCCTTTCAAGGATTTTGAACGGACCTATGTATCGTGGGTTAAGCTTACCCCGACTGAGGAACCTGATGATCCCTTTCCAAGGTGATACCCTCAGAAATACCTCGTTACCAACCTCAAACTCCAACGTCCTCCGACGTTTATCAGCATAGCTCTTCTGCCGGTCTTGGGCAGCCTTGAGCCTATCCTGTATGACTTTTATCTTCTCCTTAGTGATCTCGACTAACTCGGTGCCCTCGAGCTTAGCCTCGCCGACCTCATCCCAACACAATGGTGTCCGGCATTTCCTCCCATACAATGCCTCGTATGGGGGCATGCCTATACTTGCCTGATAACTGTTGTTATAGGCGAATTCTACTAAAGCCAACTGATTGTCCCAGCTCCCCTGGAACTCCAAGGCACATGCCCTTAACATGTCTTCCAAGATCTGAATCACTCGTTCAGATTGCCCATCCGTTTGAGGATGAAACGCGGTGCTAAACCTCAATTTCGTACCCATGGATTCCTGGAACTTAGGCCAAAACCGTGATGTGAACCGTGGGTCTCTATCCGATACTATAGTAACCGGAACTCCATGCAGTCTCACAATCTCATCTGTGTACAATTTGGCCAACCGCTCGAGCGTATAAGTAGTGTTGATGGGTAGGAAATGAGCGCTCTTGGTCAGCTTATCGACTACCACCCATACCGCGTCGTAGTTCCTAACCGTCCGTGGTAGACCCACCACGAAGTCCATGGTAACATGCTCCCACTTCCATTCTGGAATGGTAAGTGGTTGTAGTAACCCTGCCGGGTGTTGGTGCTCTGCCTTAACCTGTTGACAAGTAAGGTAACGGCTCACGTATTCTGCAATTTCTCTCTTCATCCCCGACCACCAGTAGCTTTCCTTCAAATCCCGGTACATCTTTGTACCGCCCGGGTGCATGGCATACGCAGATGAGTGAGCCTCCTCAAGGATAGATTTTCGGAGCTCCTCATCCGATGGTACACACACTCGTTCCTTGAATAGTAGAAGTCCATCTTCTCTCTCACGGAAACCCTCGACGGGCCCCACAAGCATCCGTTCCCGGATTTTCTGAAATTCCTCGTCATTACCTTGACATGTTCTGATTTCATCTAATAAGGTGGGTCTCACCTCAAATCTGGCCAATAGCGCCCCATCCGTGGATACCTCCACGCGTGCCCTCAGTGCCCGTAAGCATGTGAGTAAAACCCCTGATGATGAGCTCTTCCTGCTCAGTGCATCAGCTACAACATTAGCCTTGCCTGGATGATAGTCAATGATCAAGTCGTAATCCTTAATTAACTCCATCCATCTCCTCTGCCTCATGTTCAACTCTTTCTGAGTGAACACATACTTCAAGCTCTTGTGGTCGGTGTAAATGTGACACAACTCCCCGTAGAGGTAGTGCCTCCAAATCTTCAATGCAAATACCACAGCACCTAGCTCCAGATCATGTGTGGGGTAGTTTACTTCATGCTTCCTAAACTGCCGAGAAGCATAAGCAATTACCTTCCCTGATTGCATCAGTACACATCCCAGTCCCTGAATGCTAGAATCGCTGTAGATTTCGTACCCTAACCCTTGCACGGGCAAGGCAAGCACTGGTGCTTCGGTCAAACGTTTCTTTAGCTCAAGAAACCCCTTCTCACACTTGTCATCCCACACAAACTTAGCCCCCTTTTTAGTGAGCTTCGTGAGTGGGGATGCTATCACCGAGAACTTTTCCACGAATTTGCGGTAATACCCCGCTAAACCGAGGAAACTCCTTATCTCCTTCACGTTCTTGGGCCTCTCCCAATTAGTGACCGCCTCAATCTTGGAGTTATCAACTGAAATGCCCGAGCCCGATACCACATGCCCGAGAAAACCGATCTCCCCAAGCCAAAATTCACATTTAGAGAATTTGGCAAAGAGTTGCTTCTCCCGCAGTGTTTCAAGCACAAGCCTTAGATGTTTTTCGTGTTCCTCTTCATTCATGGAGTATATCAAAATGTCATCAATGAACACTATGACGAACTGGTCTAAGTATTGGTGGAATACTCGGTTCATGAGGTCCATGAATGCAGCGGGGGCGTTCGTAAGCCCAAACGACATTACTAGAAACTCATAGTGACCATACCTCGTACGGAATGCACTTTTGGGTATGTCACTCTCCTTGATCCTCAGTTGATGGTAGCCTGACCTCAAGTCAATCTTAGAGAACACCATTGCCCCCCGTAGTTGATCAAACAAGTCATCGATCCTTGGCAAAGGATATTTGTTCTTTATCGTGACCTTGTTCAACTGACGGTAGTCGATGCACATTCTGAGTGTACCATCCTTCTTCTTTACAAATAGTACCGGTGCTCCCCATGGTGAATGACTCGGCCTGATGAATCCGCTGTCCAGCAATTCTTCCAATTGCACCTTCAACTCTTGAAGTTCAGCCGGTGCCATCCGATATGGAGGAATCGAGATGGGTTTTGTACCGGGTTCTACTTCAATGGTGAATTCAATTTCTCGATCTGGTGGGAGTCCCGGGAGTTCTTCAGGGAAAACTTCTGGGTACTCACTCACCACTCTCACCTCAGTGAGACTCTTTTCCTTGCCCTCCTTGCCTATGACATAGGCCAAGTATGCTTGACACCCTTTCCTCATCATACGCCTTGCTCTTATGGCCGATATGATACAAGGGTTGAATTTCCCTCTATCTCCCTCGAAGCATAGAGTGTTTCCTTCTCCATCCTTTAGTTCTAACACCTTGGTGTAGCAATCTACCTTCGCATGGTGTTTTTCGAGCCAATCCATGCCAAGTATAGCATCAAACTCGAGCATATCTAACGGCACAAGGTCACCCGTTAGACAGTGCCCCCTATCCCTACGTTACACGAGGGATAGTAGTGTTTCCGCTCTACATCATCTCCCAATGGCGTAGAGACCAGCAAAGGTTGCATCATGGCTACCAAAGGCATGTTCAATCCCTTGGCAAACGCTTCGCTCACAAACGAACGTTGTGCCCCGGTATCGATGAGAATTCTCGCATCCCTATCGTTGATCTTTAGTGTTCCTACATATATAAGTCATGTAAGACACCCTAGTCGTCGTCCCGACAGAAAAGGACCGGACGGAAAATTTTCAGCCTAGAATTACCCTATACCCGGTCGGGTAGGGTCTGCTACCCGGTCGGGTATCTCTCGAATTCTTAAGGGGAAACCCCCCTGTTTTCCTTGCTCGGTCGAGTACCAGCCTCGAATTCGGGCAAAATGTCAATACCCGGTCGGGTATATACTATACCCGGTCGGGTATCAGTCAAAATCCACAAATAAAAGCTCCCTGTCTTCTACGCTCGATCGAGTACACACTTCGAAGTTCAAAATCTACACATACCCGGTCGGGTATATAGCCATACCCGATCGGGTATTGCTCGAAATGTCAAAAATAAGGCATCCTGCCTTGGCTGCCCGAACGGGTGCACACTTCAAACTCGAAGCATAGCTTATACCCGGTCGGGTCTATAGGAGTACCCGATCGGGTCTTTCATATTTTTGAAGATTTTTTTCAACCCATTACATGATCAAATACGTGTGAAATCAAGAGATTACCTGCAATGGAGTCCGGGTTGGCCCGAGCATTAGCCTCGGTCATTGCATACACCCGTGCTTGGGTCCTCCCTTGGTTAACGGACGCGGCGTTGCTAGCCGTGGGTCCGCTCCTTCCCGTGCCGGTCTGAGACGGCCCCGCACGTCCCCTACTAGTCGTAGGTCCTCCCATGGCTCCCGATGGTCCTCCCCCGTTCAGCATTGGACAAGAGGATTTGAGGTGGCTCGTGCTACCGCATTTGTAACACCGGGGTGGTTCATTGCACTTCCCCGCATGATTCTTGCCGCAGTTTGCACACCTCGGTGACCATGTACTCCCTGGTTTGGCCCCTTGCCCTCCTGAGCCTTTATTCCTTTTCGCCGGTGGTGCCGGCGCCCTGAATGAACTGCCACCCCCAGCATGATGCTTCCGGGAGTGGTCTTTGGGTCCAGCGTTTCCCCATCTTCCTTTCTTCGCCTCCTCGGCGTCCCTCAACTTCCTCTCGTTCCATTGGGCTTCCCCGAGGAGCCCCTGATCAACGATTTGACTAAATGTCATACTGTGATGGTAAGTAGCCCGGTCACGGATGTCCAACTGTAGAGCATCCCAAAAGTGATTGGCCATACGATTTTCATCCAATGAGTATTCTGGGATGAATCGTGCCAAGTCACGGAACCTTTGTTCCAATTGCCTCACCGAGCAACCATCCTCCTGTTTCAGGTTCGTGTACTCTCTTCTTTTGAGATTGACTTCAAAAGTTGAGTAGTACTGATTATAGAACTCCACCTCGAATTTCTCCCAAGTGGCTTCACCGTGGAACTTTCCCTCCACGCCTTCCCACCATACAGCGGCTACCCCTTCTAGTAACCTGGTGGCAACCCTCAACTTCACGTCGAGTGAAATTTGCATGTCCCTAGAAGCATCATTCAGCTTCTTAATCCAGTCAGCGGCCTCAGATATGTCGCCCTTGCCATCAAATGATTTGCACCCCAAGGCCCTGGCCTCCTTGAGGTACTTGGAGATACGCACCATCGTGTCTCCTCCAAATGCCCCCGATGGAGCACTAGAAGCACCTCGGCTTCCCTGCCCCATGGTTTGCCTAGCCTGTCTAGCTTGGCGCCGCTGTTCCCGCTTTGCCTTATTCTCGAGGTACCATTCCAGTACCTCACTCATACGGTCATAATGAGGATCATCATCCTCATCTTCTTCCTCAAAGTCCTCCCCGTTGTACGGGGTCTCCTCTTGCTCCGTGCTTGGAGCATAGGTGAAGTCGTCCGGTTCGGTGGCCCATGACGGGTGCACGGAACCGACGCGTGTGCTACTTGTCGTCGGCGTGGTAGAACGCCCACGACCCCTGCCTCGGCCTCCTCCTCGGCTTTGGCCCCGGCCTCTACCCCTAGAGGTCCGTGATTCCGCCCGAGTGGCGTGCCCGGTGGCCCCCGGCACATGCCCTGTCGGGTTCCTCCTAGTTATCCTGCGTCCACCCTCCATTTCTGAAAGGAATAAGGAATGAGTCATTAGACTCGTTTCAATGTCAATTGACGGAGTAGTAAAAAAGACACCACTTGGTCCAACATTATGGCCAACAAACTGTTAAGGGTACCGTCTTAACAATAAGAGGTCAATAACTTGGTTTCCAACGGTTCCTTAAGTACAAAAACTGTTGCTCATGGTTTTATTCAAAACTTTTTGAGGGTAACCATATTGAGAGGTTAATTATATAGTTTACAAATCGATGGCTCTGATACCACTTAATTGTCATGCCCCGGACCGCATCCGAGTAGACAACCGCCGTACAACCCGATAGGAACAACAACAGTTCACCCCTATTGGATTGTACAAGGCGTCCGATCGATTCTATTGCCAAACCGATTAGTAAACACATACAATCAACATCAATATCATAATCAAACAAATGCGGAATAATAAAATGTTTGATACTTAGCCACACGTGGCAAACACGGGCACGCAGGCCCCCAATTGTTTTAATGAAAATATTGTTCAAAAATCCATGAGCGGTTTATACATTTGAAATAAGAATGGAAGCACGAACCACGTCTTCCTTCTCGATCAGTCACCCTAGGCAAAGGTGCAGGTAGTAGGACTCTAGCCTCAACCTGAAAAATGTGAGGGCCCCCGGAGGGGTCAGTACTCCATAGAAGTACTAGTGACAAGCAGGCTATATGAAGAATAACTAATGTTTCAGACACGAGACCCAAAAATAGGGTGATATATACATATAGATGTCCCTCATCCACCCGATGATACATACTGTATATATATTCGTAAAATACTCAACCCGTAGGTCATTTACTTTAAAGAGTCTTTTAGAGATAAAGTTCTTACTTGACTTTTCTCACTCCTTTCCCGGTTACCTAGCTCACAAGCTATAGTCTAACTTTGATTCATACTACCGAGTGTTTTAGGATCATTTACCGTCCAAGGCACTCAACCCATCCTGGAGTATTTAAGATCATTTACCGTCCAAGGGTACTCGGCCCCACCTGGAGTATTCTGGATCATTTACCGTCCAAGGGTACTCGACCCCACCTGGAGTATTCTGGATCATTTACCGTCCAAGGGTACTCGACCCCACCTGGAGTATTCTGGATCATTTACCGTCCAAGGGTACTCGATCCCCAGTCTATTCTCTACCAAATCCTAACCTGGATATGGCTAACCTTTCATTCCTTTAACTATGGACAATGCCTAGCCCTATAGTCATATAACAAATCCTTAGGATCCAACGTGGGCGGGTCCCATCTGAACGGCCCACATTAACCCGCTCAAAACTGCCCGTTTTGAGCATAACCCAATACTCGATCGAGTATTAACCCATACTCGGTCGAGTACAGGAGACAGTAGTCCACAAAACTGATTTTCAACAAATACCCGGTCGGGTATGTGTCAATACCCGATCGGGTATGGCAGTTGACTTAGTGGTCAACGCCCGTTTGACCACCCAAACGGAGTCCGATTAACTTGAAATTTTACACACATATACTTCTTGATGTCCTTGATCCAAAAATACCATTTTGGATCCCTGGATCATCACACAAATAATGTTACCACATTTTTACTCACCAAACCTACATAACATGCTTTTCCAACTATGTTTCATGCAAAATCATGGCATAAGCAAATACTTGATTATCCTTAATCATTCCACAAAACATATCCTTGATTACTTTAGGTAATCTCATGCCTCACGCAAAAGTTATAAAGCATAAAGCCGTCTTCTCACCTTAATGAAGCTTATGAAGTTCTAGCCTCCCCGATTTAGCTCCGACGAAACTCCGGCGAACTTCAACGAACTCCGGCGACAACTCCGGCGACCTTTTCAACTCCGTGAAAGTTCCTTGAATACCTTAGACAAGTTACTAACAAGGTTTTATCATCATAAAACCCATAGTAATACAAATAACCTCAAAAAGGTTATTTTCCGGCGAACCGGTCACTTTGGCTTCTAAGTCCGTTCTTGGACTTAGAACCACCTTCCAACCCCTCTTTCTACACATCCCAACGTGTAGAACAATCCTAGGGTGTGAAATATGATTGAATAATCATATAAGATAGTTTAAGAAAAGGAATGGGATTAATGAAGTCCTTACCTTGAAAATCTCAAGTTTTGCTCTCTAGCTTCCTCTTTTCTCTTCTCTATTCCTCCCCTTCTTCTTCCTTAGCCTTGGTGCGAAAATGGGTGAAGAATAAGGTGGTTGCAGAGCTTATCTCACCTCAGTTGATGCCAAAACCGAATGAATGGCTGTAAGGGGTGATGGGAGTCTATTTTGGGCTCATTAGACCATGATGAGGGGTGGGGGGTCCTCTTGGAGTCAATTCTTGTCTCAACCTCCCCCCTAGCTCGGCTCTCTCATCCAAAGTCAGTATTTGCACACTCCTCTAACCAACCAAGTCTGGAAAAAACGTGGGGTGGCCCCCACCCATGTGGGAGGTCATCCCTTTATGTTCCCACGTGTACAATCGGTCCCGAAAGTTGTATTTTCCGGACTGTTTTAAGTATATTTTATTTTATCGGGTCAAATAAAATATAATACTTGTTCCCAATCCTTATTGGACCTTAGAATCAATATGCATTCCTCAACTTTAATTTAGAAGTCTCCAAAATCCCTTTTCGGGCTATTATCTAATAAATTGCCGATACTGATAATTTGGCCCCGTTTGACCAACCGGTCAACCCTATGCCTTTGCCATGGCTCAATTAGGATATCCACCACCATATACATATTATCTAGTCCAAGATCAATATAATATGTGGCCCCGATAATATCGGGCGGCCCCCACCTCCGGTGTGGGCCCCACGTGAATTTTTCTATTCACGTAAAAGAAACGATAGAAATTTACAATCACGTAAAAACGCTTTTATACATATCTCAGGGTTCAATACATGATTTAGTACAGTACAAATACTCGGGGGCGGTGTTACATACGAAGTCAATTCAAGAAGATATATTGTGGTGCATGATCTTTGCTGATGATATTGTATTGATTGATGAGACACAAACCGGTGTTAAAGCAAAGTCGGAAGTATGACGACAAACATTGGAGATCAAGGGTTTCAGACTGAGCCGAAGCAAGACTGAGTATATGGAGTGCAAGTTCAGTGGAGGTAGAAGTAGTAGCAACAGTGGGATTACTCTTGATGGTAAGGAGATACCGATGTGTGATATGTTCCGTTACTTGGGTTCCATAATTCAGAAGGATGGTGAATTAGATGGAGATGTATGCCATAGAATCAGAGCTGGGTGGATGAAATGGAAGAGTGCTTCAGGATTTCTATGCGATCGAGGTATGCCGACTAGACTGAAAGGTAAATTTTATCGTACAACAATTAGGCCGACATTAATGAATGGCGTAGAGTGTTGGGTGGTGAAGCAATGTCACATTCAAAAGATGAGTGTGACAGAGATGCGTATGTTGCGTTGGATGCGTGGACATACTAGAAAAGACCGCTTGAGGAATGAGGTAATCAGACAAAAGGTGGGGGTAGCACCTATAGAAGTAAGATGCAGGAGTCTCGTTTGCGGTGGTTTGGGCATGTGCGTAGAAGACCGAGTGATGCACCTGTTAGACGACTTGAGGGTTGGGGAGAAGAGGTAGAGAAGAGATGGAGGGGAAGACCCAAACAGACTTGGATTAGAGGAATCAGAACTGATATGCGTCTTCTTTGGTTGGATGAGATTCATGAGAGTATAACTTTGGAGAGAGCAAAGTGGAGACCGCACATCCATGTGGACGATTGATGTCTTTTCTACCTTTCCTCTCTTTTTTCTTTTATCGCTTATCTTCCTTATCTTTTTATTTTTTTATGTTATTTTTATCTTATAGCTTTTTTATTCTCTTTTATTTTTTATCTTTATCTTTTTTATATTCTTGTGTTATTGTTATCTTATATTTATTTATCTTTATTCTATTCATTTTATCTTATTTTTTTCCCCTTTCTTGTCCATATCTTCTCTTTTTGACATTTTTGATATCATAGATCATTCATGTTAGCCGATCTCAAATTCTTTTTGGATTAAGGCTCTCAAATTCTTTTTGGATTAAGGCTTGGATGTTGTTGTTGTAACAAACACCTGCTACAAACTGTCGGTAATGTAAAGGCCTTTCACCCAGGTTACAAAAGACAATGGGGCCACTAAAATATTGGTCCTTAATTATTTTAATGTATTATAACTTTTTAATTTCTACTCCGATTTTTATAAAAATTATATAAAAAATCATAAATTTTTATAACCTTTCATATGACACCAATATTACATATATAAAGTGATAAAAATATTAAATTCCAATTGCGGCATATTTTCAACCCCAATTTTTTCCAAAAACATTTAAGTGCTAATATTAAGATTTATGGTTATTTTAGTTTACAAAATTCCTTTTTTACAAATATGTTTGAAGTAACACAAAAAAATAAACTCCAAATTTGTTTGTTTTTACATCAAGATGATTGACTTTTTAAATCATCATAAATATTTGCAACAAGTGATGTATAACAATAAAATTATGGTTTTAATTAAAAAACTTTGCTAAGTGAATATATTGTTGCCCGCCTTCCCAGGGAGAGAGAGAGTCATTCTCCTGTCTAGCACCTCCCTGTCCGAACACCGTCCGAACACCGCCGTTTGGGACGATTCCCGGTTAAATTTTTTGATGAAATTTTTTGAGAATGTTCCTCATCAAATCTAGTTTATCCATACCAAATTTCAGCTCAAAATTCAATCATGAAGGCAGTCAAATAATTCATTGAAGTTAACTGCGCCAAATTATACATAGAAAAACGCAGTTAACTTTAACGAATTATTTGACTGTCTTCCTGATCAAATTTTGAGCTGAAATTTGGTATGGATAAACTAGACTTGATGAGAAACATGCTCAAAAAAATGCATCAAAACATTCTACCGGGAACCGCCCCAAACGGCGGTGTTCGGACGACGTTCGAATCGTGAGGTGCTGGACTTGAGAATTTTCTTATATATATATATGTATATATGTGTATATATATATATGTATATATGTATATATATATACATATATATATATATATGTATGTATATGATGGAGTATATGGCCCGAGAATCCCCGGCCCACAGACTCCTACTACACCAATAAAGGCCCAACCGGCCCAGGAAGCACAGCATGCCCAAATTACGGCCCCCCAAGCACTTAGCAGCCCACAACGCACACTGGGGAGCCTTCGGCCCCCCAGCCGAAGGCTCAAATCTCTCACGGAACGGGTTTTTCAAGCAAACTAAAAAACTGGGAGGAAAACGGCAAAAAAGACAGTAGCCCTCGGCATTAGCGTGCCCTCGGCAACAGAGAGCATTCGGCAACTATTATGCGGCCGAAGGCAGCTCACACGACAGGATCCTCCCTCCACGCGCATCTGGGTCACCGTACCAAGTACGACGTCCCATCCAACAGCCGCATTAAATGCGGCCACATGCGGTTGCCAGCGCCAACCAATTGAGGTGACCCCTCGGCCAATGAGCGCTTGACACGTGTCCCTGTCCGGTATTTATTGCTACTATAAATAGCACTCCATTTCCCCATTTGTAACCACGCTGAAAACGCTCCGCTCTTTATAATCTACTCTCTCTCTATACTTGCTTGCTCTGACTTCTCTCTTGTTATTCCCCACAATAACCCCCCGGTTAAGCTACCCCCCGGGTACACTATCCATCATTTGGTGCTCTCATTGAGAGTTCGAACAATCAAGTAAGAAACCCTCCCCCTTCGCCAAACACTAGCCCTCTACCAGAATGGTGAGAACAACACGTGCCAACTCCAAAAACGTAGAAGACAAGAACCTGGCCCTCGGCGACGTCAACGCCCCTGAAGCCTCTCACAGGGCTCCGGAGGGCGGTGTCATCGTTGGGCTGGAACAGGCGGATGTCGACCTACGCCTTCAGATCCAGCAAAATGCCCCCGATGCCCGCCTCGGCATCGAGGCCAAGAAGAAAAACCGGAGTGATGACCAAGTCAGCCCTCCGGTTCTCACCATCGACGTTCATTCGGCGCTCTCCGCCTTCATCCAGGCGCTAACTCAGAACCCGGGTGCCTTCGGCACCCTGGCTCCGGCTCCACCCCAAGTTGGGGAGAACATCATGCTTCCCCCTCTGCCACACCCCTTCGGAAATCCCATCCCTCGGATTGGGAATGACGAAGGGGTAGTGGCCCAAGATACGGCCTCCCAGGAAGTTCAGTCCCGGGACCGCCACAATGACAACAGAGAAAGGTCCCGCACTTCCGCCCTCAACCGGCTCGGAGGGGGGCAAGACCGCCGAGGGGTCCAAGACCGCCTCGGAGGAAAAGCACTCCAAAGGCCCCAGGAAAGCGGAGGGTTTGTCTCGAGGGCAGACGAGGAGCGTCCCCTCGGGACAAAGGCAAGGCACCCCTTCATGCCGACGATGCTCGCCACCAAATCAACCAGGCCCACTCGGCCCGGGTTCGTTCGCAGGGGGTGGAGACCCTCCCGAAGGACCCCCGGGACGAAATTATTGCGGCCCTCCAACGCCGGCTTGATGAAATGGAGGCCAACAAACCTCACGCCACCACCTCCACCCCTCATTCAGACCTCAAATACGAGGCCATGATGGCCAAAATGGAGGAATTACAGAAGAAGGTAGTCGAGGGCTCCGGGGAACCCATCATCCAGCTCCGGACGCGGACGCCATTTACCCCAAGGGTATTGGCGGCCCGGATCCCGGAAAAATACCGAGGGCAACGCATACAGCCCTACAACGGGAAGACGGACCCCCAGGAACACTACAGCAAATATCAGAACAGCATGATGATGGTAGGGGCGTCGGACGAATATTTGTGTCGTTGGTTCCTCTCCATCTTAGAGGGGCCGGCATACGAATGGTTCAACCGGTTGCCCGAAGGCTGCATTGATTCATGGCAAGAACTCGCCCAGCGATTCTTGACGCAATTTGCCGGGAGGCGTCGCACGAGGAAGCACTTCTCCCACCTCCTAACCATACGCCAGAGGAGGGATGAGACCCTTCAAGTCACGAAGAGGGTAAGTAAGACAGAATTCCAGGTTGACACCATCACCGGAACCATCGACGAAGAAGAAAAAAGGCCGGGGGCTGAACCAGCCGAGGACGTAGAAGACTTTGCGCTCGATCCGGCCAAGCCGGAGAGAGTCGTGAAGATTGGAGCCCAGCTCCCTGAAGATCTGAAGACCGGTATCACCGACGCCCTCCGAGCCTACTCCACTGTCTTTGCA